CAGCTTGGTGTCATCTGCAAACTTACTGAGGGTGTACTCCAACCCATCTTCCAGGTAATTTATGAAGTTATTGGACAAAACTGACCCCAAGACCAACCTCTGGGGCACTCTACTTGATGCTGGCTGCCAACTAGACATCTAACCATTCATTACTACCTTTTTGAGCCTGGTGATCCAGCCAGTTTTCATACAGTCCATTCATTTAACCCACACTTCCTTAGTCTGCTTGCAAGAAGATACCTTTAGTTTTCAAATATGGTTTACCAATTTAAAAAGTTAGCCAAAGAATGTACAGCATGTCAACAGATACAGAATACTCTAGAGTGTACAGTAGAGTGAATCCATGGATAGATACAGAGTGAAGCCATGGGTACTATGTCCATACATACATAAATACAGATTTCTACCACATCAGTGTATATGTATGGCATTCAAGGGATTTTTCCAAAACCAAAGAACAAATGTTGTAAATAATGCTTACTCAAAATGGCTACAGATATTTTGCTTATAATGTATAGCATCAGCATGTAAAAACAAAGAAGTGTGTACTTTGAATGAAATGCTATCCCAGAGTGGATCATGGGTGATAACAATCCTTATTTTACTTCAGCAGAATTTCAGTAATTCATTGTATTAAATGGCATCCACCTTCAAATGATTTGTTCAAACACTGAAAGGGGATTATAATCTGTAAGGTTAGAAAATGGTAATGAGAAAAAGCATAGGTGCTGAATTTTATTTTTGCCTGGGGGGGGCCTAAGATCATGACCCCTACCCTGGCAGCATGGCCAGAGCAGAGCCAAGCACAGCCTGTGTGGGCCTGGGGACAGATGCAGGCTGCCTGCTGCAGGCTCAGGACTCCCTGCCCCCTTGCCTTCCCCCCCAAGAGCCCATGGCAAGGTGCTTCCTGCCTGTTCAGCAGCAGCAGGGGGCACAACTCCATGCTGCTGACCCTGCTGCTGCCTTATGGACAGGGGGTACCTCACCATAGCAGCATGGCTGATGCAGGGCTCCTGGGGAGAGCCTGTAGTAGATAGCCTGCATCTGCTCCCACCCCACACACAAATCTGGGGGGAACATGCCTCCCCCCCATGTTCCCTTCCACAGGAGTGTACACAATGGCCACACAGTGGCAGGGAGCTGCCCCATCCCACTGCCCTGGACAAGCTGCCCATGGCTCTGTCCTACTCCTCACCCTGGCCCCAGGCCCTATGCACTGCCCTGGCTGGACAGTGCTCCCAGGTCCAGCCCTTGCCCCACTCCCCTCCCTCATGGTGGAGGCCTCAATCTGCTTCCCCCCCACCACACCATAGACTTACCTGTAGGCATCTGGAGGAGCTGCTCTCTACCGCTACCTAAAGCTTATTCCTGGCCACATGCATGTGTGTGCATGCACACATGCACATGTCACCCTCTGCGTCCTACTCCCCACAGCCCCTTTCAGGCTGGAATCTGCCAGGCTGCAAGGGGAAACCCATCATCTCCTGCATTTGTCCATGGTGAACAGAAAACCTGGATCTCTACATGATACTGGGAATCGAGGTATTGCCCTCCTCCCCATCACTAGGAAGATCCTTTTCTTGAATCTGAACTGATGGCTCCCTCTTGCCAAGGAAATCCTTCCTGTGTCTCAGTGGGGCTTCAGACCATTGAGAGGCACCATGGACATGATTTTTGTGGCCTAGCAAATCCAGGAAAATGCCAAGACCAACACCAGGAACTGCATATGAACTTTATTGATTTAACCAAAACCTTTGACTCGGTTAATAGTGAGGCTCTATGGAAGATCTTATTGAAGTTTGGCTGCCCAGGGAAATTTATCACCGTCCTAAGACTCCTTCCTTCATGTCCAGATGACTGCTTCCATCCTATACAGTGGCTCCACTCTGAAGCCCTTTGCCATTCAAACTGGCGTCAAGCAGGGCTGCATGATTGCACCAATTTTGTTTTCCATCTCCCTTGTGGTCATCAAGATCCATGACCATTTGCCACATGACATTGGCATCAAGTACAGGATGGACAGGAACTTTTTCAATCTCTCCTGCCTCCATGGCAAAACCAAAGTTACTTGGGCCTCAATTGTACAACTTCAGTACACCAATGATTGTGCTGTCATTGCTCATACTGAGGAGGACCTACAAATGGCTCTTAATTGTTTTTCTCAAGTATACCAGTGCCTGAGACTGAACCTTAACATTGGAAAATCAAAGGTTCTTCATCATCCTGCTCCCAGTCTATCAACCCCCTCCAGCAAAGATGCTCATTGATGGACAGGAGCTGGAGAATGTTGAACACTTTGCATACCTCGGCAGCCATCTATCTAAGAAAGCCAACATTGATGAGGAGTTCCAGTATAGGACCCAATGTGCTAGCTTGGCCTTTGGAAGATTGAATCATCATGTGTTCAACAATTACAACATCAGGACTTGAACAAAGCTTCTACTATATGAGTTGTGGTGTTCCCAACTTTTCTCTCTGTGAAGCTTTGGTGATCTACAGGGACCACCTGAAAAGCCTGGAAGACCATCACCAGTGCTACCTCTGGACAATGCTTGGCATAAAGTGGAAGGATTGTTGCACAAATGCCAGTGTCCTCACTGACACTAACACCACCAGTGTGGAAACTTCAATTATTCAACATGAGTTGCGGTGGACAGGGCATTGTGTGCACATACCTGATGTACATCTACCAAAACAAATGCTATACTCCCAACTCAGCCAAAGACAAAGGACACACAGGGGCCAGTGGAAATGCTTCAAGGACACCATCAAGGCAAACATTAAGAAGTGTGGCATTGACACCACAACTTGGGAAAAATTAGCCCAGGACAGGGCTACATGGTGATGCCTTGTGAGAGAAGGCACATTTTACTTTGAGGAAAACAGTCTTCTGGAGGCAGAAAAATGACAGAAATGGAAGGAAAAGAAACAAGACCGAGAAATCCATGGTCCAGCCCTCCCTTCAGCCACTGCCTGTGTCATTTGACACAATTTTTGGGCTCTAAGGGCATTTATACACATACCTTTGTCTACTCTGACGCACCAGAAATTCAGCATTTTGGAGCAGACTTGAGTAATCTAGTCTGCAGAGCACACTAGTTGACGTACCTGGTGCTGCATTGCATGCGTTTGTATAAATGGCAAAATGTGTGTCAGCGCACAGAAAATGGAGGTGGTGCACTTTTGAACTAAAACAACTTTGATTTGTTTTAGTTCAAAAGCATGCTGCCTCCATTTTCTCAGCGCTGATGCGTATTTCACCATTTATAAAAATGCATGCACTGTGGTACATGCATATGTACAAATGCCCTCTGATTGACCTTCTTAGCCATCAATGAACTCATTTACAATCCTTTACTTGACCTGTGGGAGTGATCATTCTTGATTGATGACAACCACATAAAGTACTGCTGAATACCAGGTGAAAATTTCACATGGCCTTCATAGCTATCACTAGGGCAAAGGAGCATTGCAGTATACTCTCATGGAAGTGCATATAAGAAAATTACATCCAAAAGAAATAGTTGTAGATCTTGGCCAAATGAAAATAAAAGAGAATTTCTGACCAGTGTTGTTTGAGGGTCCAGGAGTTCCAATAAATTTAGTGGGTCTCATATAATATATGCAATGTTAGCAACAGGAGAATAGCAAAGGGAGTCAGGGGAAACTGCAAACAAATAATTAATAATTTGTTACTGAAGAGAAAAGTACGCAGCAGAATCAACGTATGAATTTGGATGTGTTGAGAGAAGAGGCATGTAGAATAATATATCATAGCAAGAATGGCAGACATAATTGTGATTTCAGTTCTGCAGTGATTTTTTACTAACATCCTGGTTTCACTTTCCCATAACTTACTGAAACTGTCTTCATTCCAGCTGAATTTTTCAGTATATAGTTTCTTTCATGTGATTCTTTTTAATTTCATGAAAATAAACCATTCAGCCGTTTTTAAAACAAAAGTGATGAAAATGTGTTTTCCTATATATAAACCATGTTTTCCTACACAAAACTAAAAAATCTTGTGACCTTTTCAAAACAGTTTTACAGTCAAAATGGCTGACAATTGAAGGTTGAAATTTGGCAATGAAATTGTCCCCACTGAACAGATAATTAATAAAGATGTTCCGTAGCACTGGGCCATGAGCAGATCCCAGCAGGATGATGATATTCCATTACACTAACTTTTTTACAGTATATCACTTAGACAGTTTTTAATCTATCTAATGTGAGCTAGATCGATTTTTGTATATTGCAAATTTTTTTTTATCAGAATCTCAGGCAACTCTAAATCAAATACCTTCCAAACCCTAAGTATATTATATATCAACACAGTTACCATTATTATCCAAAATATTATAAAAAACTATATGAAACTTTTTTGATAAGACACATTTTCCATAAAGCCATGTTGACTGGCATTATGTTACCATGTTAACTTTCCTAATGGCGTGCAACATCAAATCTTCCATGATTTTGCCCAATATCAAAGTCGGGTTGCTGTTTCCTTAAAAAGGAAAACCAAGCAATAGAGAAAGAAATGTAAGGCTAGATCTCTAAAATGAGTCTTGGAATCAGAGTATCTCAAAAGGGAATGGCTCTGTTTTCAAAAAACAAGATACCCCAGATCTATGAGAAAACTCAGTTTGTTTAAAAATATTGAGCAGGTCAGCTTTCTACAGGTTTGTGGGGAGAAAATTACCACAGGATTCCTAAAATGCGTGCTAAGCTATTTAAGAAGAAAATGTAAAAGGGGAACAGTATATGTATATACTTGAAAAAAAATTCTAATCAGGCAGGCCCAGCAGTGGGAATACCAGAGAAGGCAAATACTCATTTTTTCCACGTAATATATTAATATAACTACTTTATTTCTCAAAATAACAGGGCCTTGCTGATACAGATACACCCCCAGATGAACTGATACCTCTGCAGCCACTTACCATAAAAGAAAGGATTTTCTCTCCATTTCAGCTAATTCTTTTGTCCAAGCAGGGTGGTAAATCTGGAGTATTATACCTTGCTACAGTGTGAAGATACTGCAATGAGAGAACTTTTTTCATGGAAGCCAAATTATCTGAGACATTCCTGGGTGAAGCACTGTGATCCACTGAAACAGAATGAAACAGAACTAGATTTAAATACTGAAGGTGAAAACTAACAATTGCCTTGAATATAGGTCAAGCAGTCTTACTGCTTATTTGTGGGTTTTATGTTTTTAAGTATAGGTTATTCTTAAGTGCTATTGTTTAAATCTGGAAATTAAGCCTGTTTGATACTTGTTTCGTTTAAGACATCCCCCTCCACTAAGACATCTCTCTCCTCATTGTTCTCCACAATTCAGACCAGGAGTCATAGTACTGTGTACAAACACAACTACAGAAATGTGACTCACTCATGCCTGGTCGCACTATTTTCTTTAACGTTTTGCTAAATGTAAGATCTGCCTGTGTTTGGTTGACTTTAGTTCATTAGATCATTGGAGCTAACATAGGAATATGAAGAAAGTGAGCTATTTCTCTCAAGTCACAAAATGTTTAACATTAATTCTTGTATGGGCCTGAAGACTGCGTGAAAAATGACATAGAAATTGCTATTTTTACTTTATACATTTATCTTTAAATTTTAAAATCTTCTCCTTGAAAAAATCCTTGTAGAAACAGGTAAGAAAGTTACATTGAACTAATTATTTTATATAGATGCTAATCTTTCCATTGTTTACTATTGTAACCAGTGTAATCATAAATCTTACTATCTTTAAAATTTATCAGGAGCATTTTGGATGACTTTTCATTTAGACCTGAGAAGCCCAATCAGAATCTCAGATGCCCAGTCAATGCCCATCCTCAGAGCCCAATATGCAAGCGGAATATCTGCATGTTTGAGCCTGACCCAGATCCTACTGAAGTCATTGACTTGTTTCTCCACTGGCTCTAGTGACAGTTGGATCAAGCTTCTAATACGTAGATTTCCTAACAGTTTAATGATGCATCTCAAAATTGATAATAAATATCCATGCTAGTTAATGAATCATCTGTGAAAGTTAGTTTATTTAGTTAGCAGAGATAGAGATATACAGTTTATTACCAGTTATCACTCAAAGATTAATGAAAAAGAACAGTGTCAGTAAGAGAGAGAACTTTCTTTGGCCTGCTCCATTTTTCTAAGCAGTGTCTGGAATTGTCTCCAGATATAACATTCTGCTTTACAAGCTTAAGAGTTAAATTCAGTACAGGTACCACATAAAGAAAGAATCCTCCTGTCCTTAAGTCACACTGTTAAGAGTCTCTTTGACCTCTTATGTAGAGTCAGAAGCCTCTTTTTTGTAAACTTCCTTCTCCTTGGGAAACTGAATGGCTGAGATCCATAGGAGACAACCTCCTAAACCAGAATGGAAATAATTCTTGTAAAAATGGGATATGCAGGTGTGTGTTCTGCTGCTGTAAAGGGCCTCTGCACCTGCGGAGGAGAAGGACAAGATTTCACCCTATGTTATTAGCTTAACTGGTTTTAAAACAATAGTTAGTCACACTGCAATCTAATGAAGTGCAAATAGCCTAGATGCTTTTAGCTCTATGTGCCTAAGAAGAGCTGGAACTTGAAAAGTAAATGACTGGGTTATTTAGTTCTTAGCGGAAGTGAATTTTAGATTCCCTCTCATATTTAAAAAATAAATAAAGTCGGTGCTGGTAATTCAGCAGTCATCACTCCTAATTCTAAGTTGTTGTAGCTTTCTAGGGAAGTCTATAGTGAAATACCTCAGAGAAACTTACCTTTCTAGAAAGACTGTTCACAAAAGGCAAAGAATCTCTGTGTATGTATGTGCTTTTAATTGCCTTATTTGTTTCTTAGTGGCAATAACATTAGTAATTCTGTTATCTCTTGCTGTCTACTCCATTACCAAAAGAATGCTGAAAAATAATTTAACTAAAAGCAATTTCAGACTACTCATTTAAGGTGAATCTTAATTTTGTGCATTTGGAATAGTGCCACTTCAAAATAAATGCCACAGTAGTGTGGAGTGTACTCTGGCTCTTGTGACCTTTCTAGTAGTATACCCCCTCTGCATAATAGACTCTAGGTCTCCACTTTTGCCCAAGGATGGAGCCCAGGAATTCTGCTGTCCTGAGATTGAGTCTATTTCTTCAGTGCCTCTGCTTTTTACCAATATTCATGTAGCTGGTTCAAATGAGTATAAGTTATGGCATGGGTCTAATAGCAAAATGGGGGCAAGATGCCTACAGAAGCAGCTGAGCCCTAGGGGCACATTCACATAGGCAAGCACGTATGCTTGCAGCAGCTCAAATAGAAGTGGTGCAAATTTGAGCTGGGGCTTTTTGCCTCAGCACACATGCTCAGACATGCACTTTGTTGTGGAGCAAATTGTGCCACTTGGGGCAAAATAACTCTGCCTGGCTGCTCTCAGATCTGCAGCCAGGGGGAGCTAGAGCCTGGGTCCAGCACCTGTGCTTTCCCCAGCAATATAAAAACCTTCCCTGGCCAGCAGCTCAGGATTACTTGCCCTCAGGAGCTTCTGGGCCCAGCCATTTGATATCTGGGGACACTAGCCTCTTGTGTCAGCCAAACTGCTGAAGCAGCATCCCAAATTCACTTTTTAAAATACCTCCAAATCCACATTCTTACAAAATTAGGACAAAAGAGAGAGAAAGGGGGATTGATCAGTTGGGCAATGTTTTATTGCTATATTTACAATGTTAAAGAAATCTGGAAGCCTGCCAGTATCTCTAGTATCATAATAAAAGTAATCCTAAATATCTATGTGTTTAAATGTTTGATTTTGATTTCCTTATCATATGGTGGGTGTGTGATAGGGAGATGTGTGGTTTGCAGGAAGAGGTGGGAAGGAGGGTGGGGGGGGATGTGGGTGGGTGTGGAGGAATGTGGGGGGATGTGAGTCACTGTGTGGGTAGGTGTGGGGGGACTGCGGATGTGGGGGGTGCTTTGGAGGAGTGGGTGCCCTGCATGAACACCTCATGCCCCTGGAGGTTGGCGGGGCACAGCGGTGCTGGTGGCAGTGGGAGCGTGGTGGCAGTGGTAAGTAGGGAACTCCAACAGATGCCACTGGCACTGTCAGCAGGGG